CTATTTACCCTCTATATATTACTTTACCCGATCCTCAAGAAAAATAATTTACTTTACCCCGTCAACAACGTTCCAAATTAAGATAGACAAAACTCAAAAAATTAGGGCTTCACTTCTGATACCGTTCAATTGTCGGCTGCAATTTCATACAGAAAAACACAAAGGACGACTAAAATTACGAGGGCATAACAACATAGTTTCGTGCAGCTTCAAACAAAAAAATTCGCAATGGCAAATTTGAGGTATTTTTTGATTTAAATATTCTCTTTTTTTGGATTATCAAGTCATTACCCAAGATTGATTAGTTACGTTTTTTATTTTTATATTTTCGAGTTGTTTGTTTGCAAGTGGTTCCATGTTTTTATTTGGGGATACCCACCACTTTTTTCTTGTTTATAGTTTACTGTTTATTATTTAAGTCTTTAATGTTTACTGTTCAATTTTTTTTTTTTATATTTTATCGTGTGTTTTCTTATTATTTATTGTTTAGTGTTCTGTATTTTTATTGTTTATTGTTTTTTATTGGGTACCCAAGATTTATTGAATAATTTTTTCTTTTATTGAACATACAGAATGTTTAATGTATTTATTTATTATGTTTTATATCTAAATGTGTGTTTTTATTAATTTCAGCAACCCAGTTACAGTAGAGATACATCATGGTGGAAGTTTTGTTTGGAAGCCCAACATCGAGTATGTGGAGGGTGAAGTAAAGTGTCTTTTGGACTGTGATAGAGAAAAGTTATCATATTTTTACTTCCAAACACTATACCATATTTTGGTAGGGAAAAATGAACCATGCTTAGTGTACTACAGATTACCAGGTGTATCATTGGAGAACGGCTTATGTTCTTTGAAAACAGATATTGACGTGCATGCAATGGTTGATGTATATGATGGATTAAATGTTATTTGTATGTATATGGTAAAAGAATCAGAACTTGATGGTGGACATGTTGGGACAGAGACTGGGAGTGAAAGACAAAAAGATATTGTGGTTTTTATTGATGATGATGTTGAGAAACAAGGTGAAGAAGAAATTGAAGGAAATTGTGACAAAACTGTGACCAGTGAAGATGAAAAGTTGGGAGATGACAAGGACAAGCCACCATCTGTACTTAGTAGTGCCCCTAGCTGGTATGATGAAGGTTTAGAGATGCCAAATGATGACATATTTGGGGCTGTAGCTGAACCTGGTGGCCCTAATTTTCTTTCAAATGATTGGTTCTCCGATTCTGAAGATCCTACACAAGCGGAAGAGCTGAGGAGTTTGAGTAATTCTGAAGATGGTGAAATGACGAGAAAAGAGATTGCCAATACTGATGAGTTTAATGAGGTGACTGGCATGAAAAATCCAACTTTATTTGTTGGATTGAAATTCTCGACAGCACAAGTATTCAGAAAAGCTATGGTGAGATGGAATGTGATAAGAGGACATGATATCGAATACATAAAAAATGAGAATAAGGTGATAACTGCCAAGTGTAAGTATGAATGTGGGTGAAGGATACATGCATCTCCAATTGGTCGAACATCAACATTTCAGATTAAAACTTTTTCTCCAGAGCACACATGTGGAAGAAAGCATGAAAATCATCTTGTCAATTCTAGATATATCTAGTTGATGAGTACTTGGATGATTTGAGAGATAATGATGAAATGAGAGTGACAACAATGAAAAGGAAGGCCAAAATAGATTTGAATGTGGAAGTCAGCAAATGGCAATTTTATAGAGCACGGAATAAAGTGAAACAAATTGTGGAGGGCGACATTAAGAAGCAATTTGCACTCTTGAGGAATTACTGTTCAACAGTGATTCAACATAATCCAGGTAGTTGCTTCAATATTCAAACAGTTCAGAATAATGTTGAAACTAGTGGTGAACATAGATTTTTGAGATTGTATGTTAGGTTAGCTGCACAAAAAGCTGGATATTTGGCTGCTTGCAGGCCCATTGTAGGCCTCGATGGTTGTTTTCTTAAAGGCTTTGTTGGGGGTCAAATGTTGAGTGCTGTTTGTAGGGACGGAAATGATAACTTATTTCCACTTGCAATAGCTGTCGTAGAATCTGAGTGCAAGGATACATGGACATGGTTTCTCACACAATTTCTCTTTGACATGGGCGGGGTTCAAGAAAGAGGATGGGTTTTCATATCTGATAGACAAAAAGGACTTGTTGAGACCATTAACGAGTTGATGCCAGGTGTTGAGCACAGGTTTTGTTTGAGGCATATGTATGCCAACTTCAAACAAAAATACAAAGGCAAGGAGTTGAAAGATATGTTCTGGAAAGCATCATCTACTGCTAATATGAACGATTGGAAATGTGCTATGGAGGATATTAAGAAAGCTGATCCGCCAACACTTGTGAATGGAGATGAGGGTGAATGTGCTTTCAACTGGTTAATGAAGGCGAACCCTCAGAATTGGGCTAGATCACACTTCAGCACTAGAGCCAAGTGTGATATCCTAGTCAATAACATGAATGAGTCATGGAACAACTACATTTTAGATGCAAGAGATATGCACATAATCTCAATGTTGGAATGGATTAGAAAAGCTTTGATGACAAGATTTCAGGTGAAAAGGGCTGGCATGTTGAAACATAATGGAAAAATTGGTCCAAATATTTTCAAGAAGCTAGAAAAAATTAAAACAGCAAGTGGTAATTGTTTTCCTACTTGGTCAGGGGGGATGGTCTTCGAAGTTGAATGTTACGAGGGGGTTAGTGTTAAACAATGTTCTGTGAATTTGGAGGCAAAAACATGTACATGTAGGATGTGGGATGTAAGTGGAATTCCTTGCAAGCATGCAGTTAGTGCTATATTTCTCAATAAACAACAACCAGAGGACTATCTGCACCCATGCTTCAGTAGAGATGCTTATCTTGCCACTTACAACTTTCAAATATTTCCAGTGCCCGGGGAGCATGATTATGTGTCAACTGGTTTACCACCATTATTACCTCCTATTATGAAGAAGCAACCTGGAAGGCCTAAGAAAAAGAGAAATAAGACTGCTGATGAGCTACCTTCAACCACGACAAGCAAACAAATTGTTCCTTCCAAAGTGTCGAGAAAGAACTTGCCAGTTACATGTGCCAAATGTCTCAAAACAGGACATAACAAAAGAGGGTGCAAGGGAGATATGCATCCCAACTCTAAGTTGTTGAAGGTAAAGTATATATATTTTATTGAAAAATAATTTTATTATTGTTTACTAATTTTTCATTATTTTATTGCAGCCTAGAGATGTCCATCAAAGTGGAGTTAAAAGAAAGGAGAAAAGACATACTCAAAGTGAACAACATTCAGTTCATAATCAAGTAGTTGGCTCTCGACCTCAATTCCAGGTTTCTTATAAACTATGTTTTAGTAACTTAAATTCTTCGGATTGTAATAATATTTGTATTTCCTTACTTGTAATACAGAATCCATTCACATCAAGCAATTCATTACCATCCGAGTCTGCTAGGCCACATTCTTCATCCCAACCTCAACCTCAATTTCAGGTTTGTTTTGAAATCTTTGAGGATGTATATAAATTGTGTATCTTAATTTATCGATTTATTTTGTTCATAATATCTCACATTTTGATATTGATTCAGAATCTATTTTCCCAGCAACTTATTGTACGACCAACTGTAGTTCATGGACCTAATGGTGCAATGTTCCAGATTGGTGGGAGGAATAACCAGCAACAAGGAAAAGGGCAAGGAAAATTATCCAAGCCAACTTGGAGGATCTAAAAGTCAATGTGGACGTGTTTCGTGTTAATTACTAGCTTTTTTGAATTAAAAAACTTTGACCTTGTTATTTATTATGTTTTCGGAATTCTCTGTAGAGATTGTTGGAAAGACCGTGAATTTATTTTGGCAAAGCATTTTGGTTTATAATGTTATTATGAGGTTTCCAGTTTGCTGAAAAAAAAATTGATCTTTTTTGTCAACTATATCATATTGTTATGAGAGTTTTACTTTTCTTGTTTGGTTTCCAGTTTTAGTTTTTAGTGACCTATGGAATGTTGTTGTGAGTTTTCAAATTTTGTGTTATTTGGTTTCCATATTTTGTTGTTTCTGAGAAGTTTATGCATAATATTGGAGCAGTGAATTATAACGATGGTGTGGGTTCATTTGAAATTTTTATTCACTTCTGCCAATGTATCTTTGTATAACTATTGTGGGAATTACCAAAAGCTTTTTAAAGCTTAAAACATCACAGATATGGCAGTGTACAATCCACTCAAAATTTCACCTAAAATTACTCACAATTTCCATTGTAAGAATTGTAGGAATTGATTGTGACAGTTTAATAAACCTCGAGCTCGATACAGTTTAATAAACCTCGAGCTCGATAAATTCAGATAATTCACAATCATCGATAATTTTCCCCACTTTCATCCAGGGCCCACTTCCTAAAACAAATTAACCATCATTCTTACAAGCATGGTAGTTAATCTCGCGATATACCGCGATATATATCGTGATACGGTACGGTTCCAATCAAAACGATACAACTCGGGTTTTGTATCGCGTATTGATAAATACCGTTAAATACCGCGAGATATCGTATCGTATCTTCGTATCACGATACGATACGATATTTACGATATTAGTCGACAATTAAAAAAAGCGAAAAAAAAAGAAGAAACGCAATCAGCTGCTCTGAAAAATGGATTTGAAGAAATTTCTTCAATATCCCAACCTTAATTCACACTTTTCACTTCAATCTCTTCACCAATCCTTACAATATCGCAACCCTTGCAATGCGATTTTAATTTACGCGATTCAAGACATTTTTTTACTGCATTTTGCGATTGTTAATGATGAAGGCAATCGTTTAAAATTGGTGGATGAGGACGATTTAGATCTTTAAAATTATGAGTGATCAAATATTTTTACAAATTAGGTATTCGAATTTGAACTTAGGGCCCATTTTGCTAAAGTTTATTTTAAACAGCTGATAAATTCTTACATCATCTGATAAGCTGTTTTAAGAGTTGATAAGTTGTTACGTTTTATTCTTAGAATTGATTTTTTCAAGTGTTTAGATAATAATCTTACAAGATATTTTTACTCATTATAAGATCTTAACTAAATAGACAGGATAAATGTACTTTTTCAAAAACTCCACCAACTTATATTTTTAATTTTTAAGATCTTTTAAAAAAATTACTTAACACATTGGAAGAGCTTATAAGCTCTTAAACATCTTATAAGCCTAGACAAACACCACCTTAGATGATGTTATTTGATGAACAATTATATTTTTTGTCATATTTTATAATAATATGTTGAAACTTGAATTTATATATATTTTGAAATGAGTAGTTTAACTAAAAAATAATAAATTTTCTATGTTTATAATATTTTTATAATGTAGATATATATTTTTTACTATTTTAATAGTTGGTTAAATATCTTACGATACGATACGATGACGATACGGTACGAGACGTGGAGCAAAACGATACGAGATATTTTTACGATCCGATAACCATGCTTACAAGTAGCTGCATAAGGTCAATATCATAAATGCCCACTTAATGAGGCCTAACTAGAATAAAAAATTCCTCAACAGAAGCTTCATCAATTTTCAAAAGACATCAAGCCGTATTCCATCAAACCAAAACCAGAAGTTCCAAAAAATATTAATGAAAACCGAAATTAGGAGAATTAGATAGATATAAAAAATTCCTGAAAAATAAAAAATTACATTAATAAAAGGTTAAAGCTTTAAGCTTTTGTACATAGTTTAGAGCTTCGAATAAGCATAACAAAAGTACAGTGAAATAAAAAACACAATAAAACCTCCAATCACCATCAATTTCATCATTTCTTGTTTAGCCTAAAAAAATTCAATTCTTGAATGTATGGTCATACCCACCTTCTGATCGAACCCACGTTCATCACTCCTGGTACTTGAAGAAGACTAGTAAGAGGTAGAGAAAAGATGAGGAAGAGGCAAAAGAAAACCACGTCTTAATTTGGGGGAAATGGGAGAGGAGTTTATTATTAAATTAATAAGGGTGTTTATGGTATTTTTGAATATTTATATTCTGACCTGTTGATAACCGAGCAAGTGAAGCGCACGCTCTGTTAGAATTGACGGAATTTTGGACGGAAGCTACCCACTCACAACCACAGGGGGGTTATGTGCTCATTATAGAACCACAAGGGGGTAATGTGCAAAATAGCGAAACCACAAGGGGGTTAAGTGCTATTTTTTTTTTTTTTTGAGTAATTCAAGTCATTACAAGGGGAAATAGGGGAGGGGGGACTCGAACCCTAGACCTTTTACCCTATTGGTAAGGTTAAGTGCTATTTACCCTATATATAAAGACAATCCACAAAGAAGAGGAAAAACGACTAGGGTTTCAATTGGATCGTAGAGAGAGAAAGTAGAGAGAGAGAGAGATGGCTTGTTATGAATCCGTCGTCAATAAATTGCAAGAGATGGAACCGTTGAGTAACAACTGTGCGGGAAGAATGAATCTGACAGTTGAACCCGCCGTCGATCAATTGGAAGCGGCGGAGAAGAAGAAGAAATTGGAAGAAGCGGAGAAGAAGAAGAATCGTAAAGAGATTCCAGAACGTGTGAAGAAGATATTTGCCATGTGGAATGCGAATGCAGGTTTTCTGCCAATGTATGATCGAGATATCCCTGATTCATGTTCTACCGAAGTGTTTCAGAGGCTTCTAGGTTTTGCCCAATTGTCAATTGATGTCTTCAATCAGAGACAGGTAAAAAAAATACCTTTTTTTCCTCTGTTTATGTTCAATTTTGTATTTTTTTTAGGTCAGAGTTTTTTTCATGATTTGATTATTAATTTTGTGTGTGTGTAGCCCATCAAATACAGTGTGGTGGATTTGGTGAAAGCATCGCAACTTTCGGTGGATGGGCATTTAGTCGATTTGAGGTTTACTGCCAAGTCTGCTGATTATGAAGATGAAGATGAAGATGAACAAGGTGCCAAAAATTTCAAAGCTAATATTTACTATGGAGTCAGACCTACGGAAGTAACCGCTGTTACGATGCTCTCTACTTAAAAAAAAAAAAAAAAAAAGGTAATTACTTCGTTTTTTCTCGTTTGTTTCAATGATGAATAATCCTTACTAAAATTTATAATTACTAGTTAAGTTAGATGTTGGATAATTAGTTTACTAGTTTGCGTTTTTTTTTTTTTTTTATTTAATCGTGTTTTCTATGAAATTGATGTCGTCGGGGAACGTCACTCGCAATTTATACTGCTCCTCTTGAATGTGGTGAATATACTTGCAATACAGACCGATCAACTCTTTTCTCGGTGACCTTCGAAGTTTAATGTATTTATGTCTCTCAAATTTATATGATATTTAGCATGAAGCATGTGAAAGGTAGAATTTTCCCTAGTTTATTGAACACTGTACATTTGCTATAACTCAATTAATTGGAACCAGAGTTTTTGTTATAGAAATTCAAATTTATACACTTTAACATGTAACACGGTTTCGGATTTTTCAATTGCAGGTGATTCCAGGTTCATAGAATATATATATATATATATATATATATATATATATATATATATATATATATATATATATATATATATATATATATATATATATATATATATATATATATACACACACACACGCGTGTGTATACATATATATATAGAGAAAGAAAAAAACAAAAAAGAAAGGGAAAAGAAGAAAAAAGAAAAGAAGATTTGGTCCAAGTTTTATTTCAAGGAGGACACGTCGAGCTGTCATGTGGGTTCACTTTGAGAAAGAAGACGGTACAAGAAAATTTAATAAAATAGTTTGAATTTTGAAAGAATAAATTAATTTTGCATAAAACTCCTTTGTATTGTAGAAGATATGCCCTAAATCCCCCTGTGTCACAAAAAAACACTAATGGTGTTAACTATTAACAGAAATGGAAATTTCATGCAAGAAAGAAGGGCTCTTGCGCAAGAAAAAAAAAACAGGGGTTTGGCGCAGGTTTTCCTTATCTTCTCCGAACTTGGAAACTATAATCAGCCTGCATAAAAAATCCGAAAATATGTTAAGTAATGCTCAAGCTGTTAATAGTGTAAATTTCTATAACTTAAACTGGAAGGACTACATTGCAATTAATTAACTTTTTCATGGATCTTGTCTTCATGTAGCGAGCAATTTTCTTCTAGCTTTTTTTTTTTGGTAATTACATGTGTACCCATCTTTTTGTTTAAAATTTTATAATCACTAAAAGTAGCTCACAAGCTCATATTTCAAACATTTTAAAATGTAATTCTATAAATAAGACGAAATAGTTTATCAGTTTTTTAATCGATTTTATTCGATGTAAAAATTTATCAAGATCTTGCATATCCAATCTTATATCATTAGAATGGCCCGGAAAACAGAAATTTCGAATAAGCAAGATATTTGTATTTAAAGAAAATATCTTATGATTAGGAAAAAGGGAGAGGAGTTATTCATTTAGAAATATGTACAAAAGACACACGTTCTCTTTCGAAAACTATCTCGAGAAAATCCTAACTCCGACGAACAAAAGAGATAATTATAAAAGATAACTTTTCTTTTGATAATTTATAAAAGGGAATTAGGCTGCGTACTAAACTGCGAGATCAAGAAGATGGAATAAATTACCCTTGATTGAAATTGCTACACAAGAAGAAGATCAAAAAGAAAAAGAAGAAGATGTTCGGAGGCCGCTGGAGAAACCATTGATTGATATGCAACATAAGTTGAAGATGAAGCTCGTCGTCCATCGATGGATTTGATCGACTTCTCGGGAAAGAGGCGCCGGTTGTCGTCGAGAACCTCACCCCCATGCCAACCACCTTTAGCCTCATGGATCTTGTCGTCGAGAACCTCACCCCCATGCCAACCACCTTTAGCCTCATGGATCTTGTCACCCGGTGTAGGATCTCAAAAGCCGATCTTGTCTTCGTGTAGCAAGCAATTTTCTTGTTTCTAATTTCTTTTGGGTAATAATTACACGTGTCCCCACTTCTTAAAAAAAATTATAATATCAAACATTTTAAAACACAATTCTATAAATAAGACGTAATAATTTATCAATTGTTTAATCTTTAAATAGTTTATTAAATATTTAAATGTAAAAAAATTATTAAGATCTCGCATATCCAATCTTATAACATTAGAATGGCTCGTAATATTGGAATTTCGAATAAGCAAACTCCTTTTATTTAAAGAAAATATATCTTATGATCAAAGAAAGGGGAGACCTACTAGCGGTGGCTGAAGAGAGTTAAATTCATTCTGAAATATACACGTTCGTTCTCTTTTGATAACTATCTCGAGAAAACCCTAACTCCAACGGGAATCTTCTCTTCATATGTCTTCTCCCACGAACCAAAGGGATAATTATAAAAGCCTTTAATAAAAGGAAACTTTTCTAATGATAATTTATAAAAGGAAACTTGGTCGCGTACTAAACTGCAAGATCTAATATGGAATGCAAAAGAAAGCGCGTGACTAGTGACTCTCTCGAGGTTGTGAAATATATAAAATAAATAGAATATAGGGGAAATTTGCTAGACACCCCTTATTTTAGACTTATATGGCTAGAGATCCTAGTTTTTAGATGAATATAGGCATACGTCCTTTGACCCAATAAATTAATATAAATAAATTAAAATAATTAGTATATAGACCATAACACCCTCAATTAATAAGAAAACAAATCTTATATATCTTTTCTCTCCAATCTCACGTTACTTTCCCCCTATATAATTCCTCATCTCTCTCCTTCTGTTATTTTCCCCCTATATAATTCCTCATCTCTCTCCTTCTGCAACTCAATTCTCATGCCTCTCTCTCTCTCTCTGGTGCTTCTCTCTCTCTCTTTTTTTTTTCTTTTTCGTTTTCTTTTTTTTAGTGAAGAAATATTATAGAGATGAAAAAAAACAAGGATCTTTTTAGATTATGAGAGGATTTCTTTGTGAAAGAATTAAAGAGGACGACAAACATCCCCTCCAAAAAAAATCAGAAATCCAGAATCCTAGCCAAATTCGCATTGTGTTTTCCGTATGTAGAACCTCCCATCGTTTGTTGTTAGCAATTTCCGTTTGCAGTTGGTTTAATTTCGTTTGTTGTTTGAATAATTGCGTTTGATGTTGAGATTCGATTCATCTGGTTTACAATTTGCAAGGTATGTCTTAAGTTACATTTTACAAACATTTTGTTTAATATTTTTGTTGTTTGCAAACTGTTCTATAAACAATTTTTTGGTTGATGTTTTTAATGATACTGATTTTTTTTATTTTTTTTCAGTTTGTTGTTTGCATTTGGCCAAGTCATAGGTAGTTTATTGTTTGCAATTCAATAATGCAAGTTTTGCTGAATGTTTTTCTTCAGTTTGCTGTTTGCATTTGGCGAAGTCATAGGTAATTTTTTGTTTGTAATTTAGTAATACAAATTATGAATTTTGTTTTTTCAGTTTGTTGTATGCATTTGGCGAAATCATAGGTATTTTGTTGTTTGCAATTCAATAATATAAAATCTAATTTTCAGTTTGCTATTTGCAGTTCGCGGAGTACGTCGTAGTTCCCGGATCATAGGTGGTGGTGGGGCTGCGGTGACATTTTTAGAGTATGAGTTTGTAAAATAAATTGTATATTTTTGTTATGAATTAATTTATTTGTTTTGGTTAATATTTGGAAGAGAGATGTTTGGGAATTTGTTATGATAGATAGATTTTTGGGGATTTGATTTGATTTAATTAAGGGCATTTTTGCCATAATAAATATTATTAATTTATTAAAACATTAAATTTTGGCTTGAATTTACAAACATAAATTATAATATAGAGGGACCTCTAGCAAATTGCCCCTAGAATATATTATAGGGGGCGGTTAAAACTATTACCAAATTTTTATACTTCAATACCACTAAGTTTGAAACCATTTTTTATAAAAGTTTTTACAATGTTTTCTTAGTTTAATACTACAAATAAAAAAAATTATTAGCAAAGTACTAAAATACCTCTGATCAAACAAAATACAATTTATACAAATAAAATTATTTTTCCCTCATTTCAATACCAAGGATAAAAAAAGAAAAACAAATCCTCTCTTCTTCTCCTCCAAACTCAAACCCCTTAAACCCTCTCTTCTTCTACATCTTCTTATAAATTCTTCCAAAAATCTTCAAATTCAAAAATATCAAAACCTCACAAAACTTATACAATGGAGTCACAAGACAATAAAATGGTAGTATACATGGAAGGAAACTCCATTAAAGTATGTGTCCATGTCTTTTTTTAGCTTCGAAGTTGATTATGAAGTTTTTTTTAAAACCCGTCGACTCGACATATACATGTCGAAAAATCACTGCTGCAAAAAAAAAATTTATAAACCAACACTGTTGTTTCGACACATACCTGTCGAAATTAGGTATGTGTCGAAATTATTTTTTTTTTCGACAAGTTGGTGTCGAAAATTAACCAAAAATTCGACATGTATGTATCAAAAATTGTCGGTGGGGTTCAAAAAACAAAACTACGAAGTTAAAAAACGACATGGATACATATTTTAATGTGTTCTCATTGGTCGTAAACTATCATTTTGTTGTCATTTGACTCCATTTTGTAAGTTGTGTGAGGTTTTAATTTTTCTAGTTTTGAGATTTTTTAGGAGGGTTTGTTGTGATGAAGAAGAAGGAGGTTGAGGGATTTATGAAGAAGGAAATGAGTTTGATGGGTTTTGTGTGTTTGGTATTGAAGAAAGAAAAATGAGATTTTTAATGTTTTTATGGTATTGATTTTCATCAAGGGTATTTATGTCATTACCTATTTATTATCCAATTTTTATTTTTTTGATATTGAAGTGAGAAAACTTTAATAATAATGCCATTAAACATTATCCATTGGTATTCTTAAAAAATGTATAAAATAAAAGAGAACTATCACCATTTTTATTTAAAATATAACAATTTTTATTTAAAATATAGGGGCTTTTTGAGAAAACTCCCTCACTATTTTTTTTAATGGAGGGAGACCCAAAATATTTTAATCTATTTGAGAAAAGCCCACACTCATTTTCAGCCATTATGTTTTCCAACTTTGCCCCCGTCCGCCACATCAACACTTGCTCACGCGCTCAACAATTTTTTATTTTTTTTTCTGTTTTTTTCCCGTCTTTTCTGTATCAGTTTCCTTAATCGACTATGAAGCATAGTCGATTAACCTTAATAGACTATGCTTCATAGTCGATTAAGGAAATTATTTATTTTTTTATTTATTTTTTGTTTTTTAATATTTTTTTTCTATATGAGGTATATTAATTGACTATGATGTGAAGCGTAGTGGATTAAGAATCTGCGAATAAAAATAACAAATCACAATTGCGAAAAAAATACAAAATCAACTATATATTACAAAAGCAAAAAATATAAAAATATTAGAAATGAGATTATACAATTTGGAATCAATAAAAAAAAAGTTCAAAAAAAAAATAAAAAAAAATGGAGTTGATCGACCTTAATCGACTGCCATAGCATAGTCAATTAGCTTAACCGACTATGAACATGTACATACTCGATTAAGGTCTCAGCATGCGCGAAATTCTCTACCAGCGCCGTCCTCCACCCGATCCTCCAAAAAACCCTAAATCTGTCTCCCCATCGTCACCACAGTGCCGCCACATCACATTATTCATACTGTTGTAGAAAATCCTCAATAGTATTCGTGTTGTTTGAGAAACGTGATTTCTTCGACAAATAAAATTATAATAAAACAAACAGTAATTAATTACTCCAACATTTTTTACTCACAAAAAGTGATGTTGCAGAGTATTCAAAATCAAAATTTAATGGAGATGATGAATTTAAAATAAAAACAAATCTATCAGTTAAAGAAAACAACCCGCATCGGCAACAACTTGTTTGACGGGGTCTTCATATCGTCGAGCCGAAACCTCGTCGTCGTCAGCCTTCGCGGCCAGAGCTCCACCCACAATATGTCCAATCATGATGGTTGTAGCAGTTCTTCACCCAATATGTCTGCCAATGTTCATCGGAACAGCATTTAACGGCGTCGGCCGAAATCTGATCGAGAAGAGAAGAAGCAGATCGAGAAGAAAAAACAAAAACGAGAGAAGAGAAGAGGGAAAATGAGAAGAAAAGAGATAACAGCGGGGACATGTTAAACTTTAGGGTTAAGAGTAAGGGTATAATTGGAAGATTAGCTTTATTAATTATTCAAATTAACAACAAAAAGGATTTTCTCTAATTGTTTTTTAGATGAGGTGTTTTCTTAACTCATTTTCCTAGATGAGGGGGTTCTTGCTAATTATCCCAAAAATATAATCTCATTGAAAGTGAAAGAATTTATGGTCCCGAATTCGTTTAATACAGAGATGTTATCTGAAGTGTTATGACACTTGAGAAAACATGCAGCGGAAATATAAAGATAAAAAGACAATACTCAGAATTAAAAATGTTCACAAGTAAAGACTTGTGAACTTGCCCTTTACAGGACGGAAAAATATATTAAAACAGTATTCCAAGAATACAAACAGAAGAGGTGCGAAAACTTCTTCCTTATGAATGAATCATTCTCATGATCATTCTTACAATCAAATCTAGATACTAAAAGAAAAATATTAAAAATTCTAGATTTCAAAGATGTACTCGTGAGGAGTACGTAAAGAACTTATGAATGTATCACTATCTTGATCATTCTTACAACCACGTCTAGAAACATATATACTAAACAATCTAGACTACAAAGAATGTACTTATGAGAAGTACGTAAAGAATGTACTCATAAGGAGTACGTAAAGATTGTACTCATGAGGAGTACAACCAACCGATTCTAGAAACACACTAAAACACTTATGTAATCTTTTCAGCTCTCGGTGTTTATTTCTTCGGGATCGATCAATTTCCTTGAGTATTGAAATCGGTATTTATAGACATTTCAAGCTTCCACTCCTCAGCCCATGATCTGCAAGAAAACCAACTACAAGAGCACTCAAGAACATGGGTTAGTGGGTTAGTTTAGAAGTTAAGATAAAATCCACAATTTAATCCACTAAGCACTACTTAACCCACTAAGTACTATACTTAACCCACTAAGTACTATACTTAACCCACTAAGCACTACTTTTTCAATAACTAAAATTTAGTTTAAAAAATAAGAGAGTTAAAAATAAAACGTGGAAATAATTCACGTGTTTCAGAAAGTTTTAAGGTAATTTTTGCCTAACACGGTTTTATCGTTAAAATAATGGATTATAATATAGAAATTCTTATATTATTTAAAATGAATACAATAACTTTAAAGAAATAACTGAAATGTTAATTGCATCGGGACTTTACTGAAATTGGCTTATTTGCAGCGATAGTCTCATTTGTCAATTTTCTAACTTTCTAAAAATCGAAACTCTCTCAACTAAAAAAAATCGAAAACTTAGAATCTGAAGGTCGTTCGACAAATTCGAAACTAAACAACAACATTTTTTTTGTATGGCCGATCCATATTACTTTTACAAGGTAAATACGAAGGAAGAGGGGGGGAACGTGTTGTGCAACACGTGGGTAGAAAAAAAGAAAAAAGTTGAAGTACCCGTCCCCTAGAGGACGGGAACCTAAGTTTTAGTTTTTTTTTTTTTTTTTTTTGGTTTACTTTATTCCTTTAGTATTATTTGGTAGGGTGATGATGGTGATTTTGACGAAGAATATGCAAACGAGTACAATAATCCCAATATGTATTATCATGTTCCTCAAATAATTACAAAATTTGACATTTAAACTAAATATATATATATATATATATATATATATTAAAAAAAAAAAAAAAAAAAAAAGCCTTAGCTTCCCCGTCTCCCCCGCCATATCGAAATTTAATCTTCAGGACTTTTTCCGAACTTGAAGAAGCACCCATAATCCCATTCCTCTTGTGCTAACGTGTCATCTATTGGGGGGGAAACGTGTTGTGTAGCACGTGGATAAAAAAAAAGAAAAAAGTTGAAGTACCCGTCCCCTAGAGGACGGAAACCTAGGTTTTAGTTTAGTTTTTTTTTTTTTTACTTTATTCCTTTAGTATTATGTGGTAGGGTGGAGATGGTGATTTTGACGAAGAATATGCAAACGAGTACCATAATGCCAATATGTGTTATCATGTTCCTAAAATAATTACAAAATTTGACATTTAAACTGATAATATATATATATATATATATATATATATATATATATTTAAAAAAAAAGCCTTAGCTTCCCCGTCTCCCCCGCCATATCGAAATTTAATCTTCAGGACTTTTGTTGAACTTGAAGAAGCACTCTTAATTCCATTCCTCTTGTGCTAATGTGCCATCTATAAGAAATAAATATATTAATTAATTAATTAAAAAAATATTAAAGAAAATTAAAACATGAAGTTCCGTTCTGCCAGAACACGGGAACTTCAAGAATCTTCAAGTTCCCGTGTTCTGCAGAATGGGAACTTCATGTTTTTTGAGTCGTCCGTTCTGCTGAGCACGGTAACATAAAGATTATTCAAGTTCCAGTGTTCTGCAGAACAGGGGAATCATATTTAATTTATTTTTATTTTTTTTGAAAATAAAAATCTTTTTTTTCAGCTTCCCGTTCTTCGGAGCACGAACACTTGAAGAAACTTCAAGTTTCCGTGCTCTGCAGAACGGGGAGTTCAAAAAACTTGAATCCTCCGTTCTATAGAGCACGTATACTTGAAGTTTCTTCAAGTGTTCGTGCTCTTTAGAACGGTGGCTTCAAATTTTTTTTTTTTTTTTTTTTTGAAAATTGGCTATCTAATCCTTAACATGTGTTTTTAGCTAAATTGTAGATAAAACTAATTAAAAGTAGTGGGATATTGAAAAATTACCGGAATCGAGCATCGTTTGCTACGGATACAAAGTTGAAAAAATTTCCGAAATTCGAATGTCTTGAGAGAGTTTGGGAGTAGGAGAGAGAATTTCAAAAAAAAAAAAAAATTGGAAAAGATTTCGCTGCATTCAATAAAAGGCCCGCTGCAAATAGCAACACCCAAGAAACAAGGGTAAATTACAACCACCCTCAAGATTTTGTCAATTTACGAAAAAACTCCTTTTGTTTGGATAATTATATCTACCCATCAACTATGATTTTTTTCTTACACCTCCATGCTTATGGTGTCAAATTCAATATAATCATGTAGATTTCGTGGAATGCTCTCTAGTTTTTACTGGTTATTGTGCCAAAATACAGTTTCTGATGCACCACAATCTGATATATACAAGCCAAAAATCACATCTTATGATCATCTTGCTTCAAATTGTGGAGCTCGAATGGGATAAAACGGCTACAAAATTAAGAATATTTCATATAATAAAAAAAAATCCACTAAATTTGAAACCGCAGGGATGAGTCGTGTAAGAAGATTTATAGTTGAGGGATAGCTGTAATTATCCAAATAGGAGGGGGTTTCGTAATTTGACCATACCTCAGGGGGTGTTTGTAATTTACCCAATTTTTATTTAATAGAAGTCAATTGGCGGAGGAATTTACCAAACAAAATCCGATATTGCAGCCCAACCCACTAATATAATCCAGCCCATTCATTACCCTGTAATCTCTATATATATATATAAAAACGACTAGGGTTTCAATTCGATCGTAGAGAGAGAAAGTAGTAGAGAGAGAGAGAGAGAGAGAGAGAGAGAGAGAGAGAGAGAGAGAGAGATGGAGATGGCTTGTTATGAATCCGTCGTCGATAAATTGCAAGAGATGAAACCGTTGAGTAACAACTGTGCGGGAAGAATGAATCTGATAGCTGAACCCGCCGCCGTCAATCAATTGGAAGCGGCGGAGGAGAAGAAGAATAATCGTAAAGAGATTCCAGAACATGTAAAGAAGATACTTGCCATGTGGAAGGCTTGTGCAGGTTTTCTGCCAATGTATGATCGAGATATCCCCGATTCATGTTCTCCCGAAGTATTTCAGAGGCTCCTAGGTTTTGCCCAATTGTCAATTGATGTCTTCAATCAGAGACAGGTAATTTTTTTTCTTTTTTTTCTTCCCCTCTGTTTATGTTCAATTTTGCCTTTTTTTTTTAGGTCAGAGTTTTTTTCATGATTTGATTATTAATTTTGTGTGTGTGTGTAGCCCATCAAATACTGTGTGGTGGATTTGGTGAAAGCAACGCAACTTTTGGTGGATGGGTATTTAGTCGATTTGAGGTTTACCGCCAAGCCTGCTGATTATGAAGATGAAGATGAAGATGAAGATGAACAAGGTGCCAAAAATTTTAAAGCTAATATTTACTATGGAGTCAGACCCACTGAAGTAACCGCTGTTACGATGCTCTCTACTTGAAAAAAAAAAAAAAAGGTAATTACTTCGTTTTTTCTCGTTTGTTTCAATGATGAAGAATCCTTACTAAAATTATAATTACTAGTTAAGTTAGATGTTGGATATTTAGTCTTTTGAGTTGTTGGGATGTTTAATATGTTGTTGGAAATTTGATAATTCGAAGTTATCGTGTTTTATATGAATTGATGTCGGGGAAAGTCACACGCATTTTACACACCGATCAACTCTTTCTCCTGACCTTGAAGTTTAATGTATTGATTGATACATTGCTTCTGGGCATGGTACCTGTATTTATATGATGATATTTAGCATGAAGCATGTGAAAGGCAGAATTAAGTGGTATATACCTTCTTGCAGTTTTTGTTATAGAAATTTACACACTTTAACACGGTTTTGGATTTTTCAATTGCAGGTGATTCCATCTTCAGAGAAGATATATATATATATATATATATATATATATATATATATATATATATATATATATATATATGCCTGTGGAATATTAAGTTGTGTTGAATTACATGTGATGGGGCTGTGACTTTGTTTTTATGAACCTAGAATCTCTTTTTATATATTTTATTCTCTTTCGGGTTCTTGTTTTGTTTAGTTTTGGGAGTTTTGTGGTTGTCAAATTAACTGTTAGTAAATTAAACACTAATTATTTTATACTAGGGGATATTACATAAGTTTTGGTGATGATGCAGAGTTCAAGTAAACCTACACTAGTAACTTGTACTTGCTCAATTCTAAGGTTTACATCAATCTGGTTTTCAAGGTTGTGTGTGTGAAAAATAACAACTTATTAGCCTTTTGAAATGTTAATCTCCGTTTCTCAGAACAAGTGCTTAAAGGAAGTCACCTCAAAAATTAACTTTTAATGCACTTTACTTGTCCGAATTTAAACTAAGATTAATGAAAAATAAAAACAGAATAGGTCCAAATTTAAACTAAGATTAATGAAAAATAAAAACAGAATAGTCTCCAAGTAAAAGACAGTCAACGCTTGGCAATAATGGGGTTCCAAATGCCCTTGAGCTCTTCCAGCTTATCTTCAAACTCAACAATTCTCCTAAGCTGATTAGCATCCATCCACTGAAAAGCTGCCTCAATACAATCCTCCACTTTCTTCTTATCATCTGCCCCAAGCTTCGATGCTATCTTCTCGTCTTTAATGGCTTCACTCATGTCGAATGTGTAATTCCACAGAACATTATGGGCCTTGGCCCTCTCGTAGTCCTCATTCCCGGAGTCGTGTTTTTCTACCTCGTAATCCTCATCCTCGATAATACAAAGGATGGATCATCAAATAAACGAAATAAAAGATAATGAAATATACGAATAAGTGACTATTAAACATACCTGAAGGTGTGTTCCGACAAAGTAAGCAAGAGGGTAAACTAGATCAGTTGAAATATTTCCGTATCCGCCATAGCCCCACTTTTTCCCCCACGAGTTTAATATTTCATAGTATAATTCTTTCTTACCCTGGTAAGTCTCTACATCAATTCCCACAAGCATTACCATGTGCAACCCATCAATTGATTTTGCACATTCGGCTCTATAAACATTCTAAATAACAAAACCAAAAAAAGAAATAATTAATATACTATTACATTGCAGTATAAAGAATTATTTTGAAAATAATGATTTTTTATTACTTTACCTCTCCTATGTGACTCTGGAAGCTGGGAGGTGCAAAGACTAAAGCTAGTACTGGATGTCCATTTTCCAATATCTTCTTAATCTCAAGAGGGGAAGTGTCAGTTGTGTATATAAAATCATCCATCTTAATTTTTGGACCCTGGTAATGAAAAACATTAGAAACTATTAGTATAAGTTTTAAATAAATTATTCTCATAAAAAGACACTTAAGCTATTAATTACTCACCCAACTCATCTTTGGGTTTTTCTGCACAGTTCCAACATACTTACGGTGTTTTTCCAAACACGATCCATGAACCTTAATATACTCAAATAGTTCATCAGCACCGTTAATAGAATAATAATTCATATTTTCTATTGAACATTTCTCAGATGAGTTATTGTCATCAAATTTAAATTTGTAAGGCACAACATAACCTGGATACTCTAAATAAAAATTGTTAATCATCTCCTGAGATGAAACTTCGTAATCATTGATGTCGGGATTGTTAAATCTCAAATCAAAACTTAACGCCATAGCTGCTGCTTTAAATGCACAGGTTGCTGTTTCATAATAATTTCATAATAATTAATAAGATGATGTGAGAAATTATCTGACAAATTTTATGAATTATTTGAAAATATCTGATTTTTTTAATTAAAAAGGTCATAAAAATTTAAAAATAAGATGCTCACATTTAGAAAGTTATATTATTTTTTCATTGATTATTAACTTATTAATTTATTTGCATAAAAAGATAATATCTTTAGATATAATATTTTAAATTATTTTCTGAACTTCCATTTCTTGATAATATAATTAGTAGTATTCTGCATTTATTTGTTTACAGTTTGAAACAATAAATATTTTTATTAATGAATATATATATATATATATATATATATTAGAGAACAGTATTTAGTACGTACGGAATCCTTTTTGGGATCGAATTCGTAACATGGCAGCTGACGGACGCAGTGTATAACCGACAAAATCTTCGGGAATATCCGGCATAATGATAACCTGATATAAAAAATAAAAAAAATAAAAAAAAAAAACCATTCACGTATGTATTTTACAAAAGACATTGCAATGAAAAAATAAACTACTCATAATCCATATTCATCAAACGTATTTCTTATATTAGTTAAATAAACACGAAAGATGCCGATCGATTCTGAAAAGTGTAGTAACTTAAAGGTGATCTACTTTTTGGGCCTGTAATTTTGGACTAAATTGGAGAAATGTAATCTACTATTTGGGCCTGTAATTTTGAACCAAATTGGAGAAATTTAATCTACTTTTTGGGCCTGTAATTTTGGACCAAATTGGAGAAATGTAATCTACTATTTGGGCCTGTAATTTTGGACCAAATTGGAGAAATTTAATATACTATTTGGGCCTGTAATTTGGGCCCAAATTGGAGAAATTAAATGTACTTTTTGAGCCTGTAATTTTGGACCAAATTGGGGAAATTTAATCTACTATTTGGGCCTGTAATTTTGGACCAAATTGGAGAAATTCAATCTACTTTTTGGGCTTCTAATTTTGGACCACATTGGAGAAATGTAATCTACTATTTGGGCCTGTAATTTTGGACCAAATGGGAGAAATGTAGCCCATTAAGAAAGAGAAGAATGAAAATGGAGCAAATTTGAATTAAGAAAAATTACCTCAACACAAAGATTAATTAATTTTTAGAGATAGGTCTAACCCAGAAATTTCTGCAAAACATAAATACGTACGAACATTAAAAAAATTATAATAATAATAATAATAATAAAAAAAAAAA